TTGATAATATCCAACACAGGGCATTTGTCTCTCTCCATGGAGCCCAACCAGTTGACACCACCAGTCAGCTATGTGTAGAAAAACGTCCACTCACAAAATCAACCCATTCTTGTTTCTGTTATTTTCGACACACGCCTGAATAAACGATTATGTACGATGCCGTAGAAAAGTACTGACAAAGCATCCGACTTTGAGAGAAATCCCACCCTCTCAGCAGAAAACTCACAATTCACCTCTATAGTCATTGTTCGCGGTTGTTCTTTGATCCATTCACCGGCAGACAAACTTTCCCAACACTTCGTAGTAACCTTGATGCATTTGGGTACCGATTGCGCGACATCAAATTTATCCACTTCATTACTCGCACGCACACGTTTCCAAAAGCCTCCACTTATGATTTCAAGGTAAACACACAGAGATGCCTTTTCTTACCCAGGCATTCCTCGCCACTTTTTCTCTCTTCTGACTTCTCAGCATTTGTCTACGCTATAATACTTTAGAGTACATCCGCCTTGGCATGCAGTTCCCACTTAGCCTCAACAGCTCTTTGTGTTGTATATTTTTCACATGCTGCTGCTGGCGAAGCACACCTGCAGCACTGAGCCATCCTTCTTGCTTGCGTATAATGCGGAGGCTGTTGTTTGCCAGAAGTCGCCCGGTAGCATCCCTTAACAAATGCACGAGCTCGCAGGGAGTTAGCGGTAATGCTGTGTTTAAGACTGCCGACAGCTCGTTGCAATGCTTTCACTTAGAGAGATGAAGAGATTTGCTTTAACGTAGTCCGGTGTGTGTGTGTGTGTTCTTGTGTTTGTGTGTGGTTATTTGTGGGGCATTGAAGGAGGATTTTTGCAACGTCTTTGGATTAGGATGTTTTTTACAATGCAGTGTGTGTGCATATTTATTTATTTATTTTTTGGCAAGGAGCTGTGTAGAGGAAGGTAGTTTAAACACTTTTTAAACGCACTCATAACTGTGTGTATTGCATAATCGGCAACACTGCATATTAGCAAAGCAAATTCCTTTTTCATGTAATTAAAACAATTGTTATCCTATTTCTTAATATTTTTTCCTACAGGCATTAACCCTAACCCTAAGCCTGATTCTTTGCCTATGCCCTGTGTCTGCCCTGTTTACATTCGGCCAACTTGTGCACTTTAAATGCTCTATTATTATGATGATGCTCAAAATATAATTTAGCTGTTTTTGTGACAGTGACAACAAATTATTGAATCGTGGTATTAATATAACATACAATAAAATCACTAGCTTTAGCAGAATAAGGAAGCAGTCTATAATCTATTATAAGAAGCAAGAATAAAGTCCAAAATCTCTGACCTTAGCATAAAAAAGAAGCAAGTGTTCCCTACAAGCTCTTAAAAAGAACAGCCCTGTTTTCACTTCGTCTTCATGTTCGGCGGTGACATGTGAAAGCCGCCTAAATCCACATTTGTTAGAGGGGTTACTTGGCAAAACAATGGCCCATGTCAGCTCCTCCATCCTGCTCTGACTGTCGCTCATTAGTTAGCCCAAATCCAATCCACTTTGCCCCAAGGAGACACCTTTGTGACTAGTTCCACAAAAGTCCACTGAAGTGATGGCCCCGGGGCCCGCTTTCTGCTGCGGACAAGATAAATACTATTGTTTCAGCCCTGGAGCCTGCTATTAGTCTGAAGGTGGGATTGCAAAGGAAAGACAGCGAAAAGTCTTCTGGATTTGAGGAGATATTTTGCTGCAATAAAGGTGCAGCAAGCAATTATATTGATTCTCTGTAATTGGTGTGTTTAGATGATGTGTTTTATTCTTTGGTCACTCTAAAAAGCTCTAGAACTCATGTGTGATTGGTTGATAGTTAGTATAATTTTGGCTTTTACTATGTTGCAGACAGATGTGGATAATTTACTTTAAGAACAGTCGTGAACTAGGTGCTGGTCTGTAAGTAATAAAATAGTAAAAACTACTGGATTATTTGCGAAAAATACAAGCCTCCAACCTATAGAAATGAGGAAAATGCGAGGCACTCTTTATATTTAAATGAAAATCCTGTACAGGGATATGCTACGCGTTTCGCCCACATAGGGCCTTCTTCAACCTCCAACCTATAGCTTGGGAACTTTAGAAATGTCAAAACAAATCTCCTCAATGTTTTTAATAGCGTTCCCATGCATAAAACATATATTACTTAACACAAAAATGACTGAATAATAGTTTGGTTACAGCTATAAATTCATAAAGCTTTAAAAGGCATTTTACCATTATACTGCATTGATTATATTTCTTTTGAACCACTTTAAAAAATAGCCATTTTGGTCTTGAAAAAGTAGCTCCCCATAGGAAAAAGGTTGGAACCCTCTCATATGAGCACTATACACATTGAAAACAATTGAAATAGGTCAAACATTTCTCAACTTTTGTCAATTGTATCTTAACTTTAGCATATTTTGACTGTGTTATACAAGCTTTGCCAATGAGACGAGCAGAAGTCTCTTGTTTTAAAAAGATACAAGAAATGTCTCCCTTGGAATGAGAAAACATAGCAAGACAGACACTCAAATTAAGATAAAAACGACTACATTTAAGCCATTATTACCTCATATTATATCATTTTTAGCAGAGCAGAAAATTACTTTGGCTTCTCCTTGCATATAGTGGTGTAATCAAATGCCATTGTCACGGCATATTCTTTCCATTTATGATACCAATAGCCATCCCGTTTTATATATCTTTATTCATTCCAGATATAATTGAAAGAACTGGTAACAAATACTTGCTTGTGAAACCACATATGCGTAAAGTTGCATTCAGCCGTCACTCATCTGTAACGCGACTCTTGTTGTAGCCGCTCGTATGTTTTGGACTCAGAACTAACTATCCATTATGTTCTCAATAGAAGTTACAGGAAGTGGAGTGTTGAGGGGCCCGGAGCCATGAGACCTGCGCCGGGTTTGCGGTGAAGCCTTTTCAAGTCTTCATAATGCACTAATCACCGGACAATAGACAGTGGAATGTACTGCGTGAAGTGTTTTGTGGCCTGAAGGACGACTGCGCACCTGGGAGAAAAACAGGGTGAACACTATCTGGTTCACACTTGTTGGTCTGGTTCACGTTGACAGGACCGAGGCTGGATCTGTTTTTTAGAATGTTGTTGTTGAAACTGAGCTTGTCGTTACAACCGCCTGAAGTCACTACTCTTCCACTTGATGTTTTGGTTAAAGTAGAAATATGTACAATTTTATAGTCAGTCAGTTGTCAGTAAATTGTCTTAATATGTCAAAAGGCGTTAATAAACCAGGCTCTTTTCGAATACTTCTTTAACTGATAACAGTTGTTCAGCTGAGATATGCAAATTTCAAAATTAGTTTTATAGCCCCTAAATCTTGTTATTCTTTTAATTTTGATGTCCCGCCCTCCACCGTTTTACAAATCAGACGGTCCTTGATCTGAGTTGCCAGAACTCACCGCGTCGAGCTAATCTCACTGGTAACAAAAAAGTCTTGTTATGATTCTCAAATCATTAATAAAACGAGGATTTCTATCAGGGCCTATCAGATTTGTTGTTGACCAAACTCTATTAAGATATTATGGTATTATACATACTGCTCCTTTAAGGTCGAAGCAAACCTAACTACTGGTGACGCAGTAGTTGCAGAGTGAACCTGCGTTGGTCCAGTTAAAGCTGACATTTTTCACGTTGGTTCTTTGATAGGGCAGTCTGGGAATCTTAGACTGCTGCCCCCATAACTGGCAATAGATAAATCGAAGGAAATTGGCTGGAGGTTTTCAAAATAAAAATCGTTTGTTGTGCAATGCAAACCTATGCCATCCATCATTATATCAGAATGAACTAAACTTTAAACTGGTCTCTGTTTTTTGAGAACGTGGCACTATTTTGCCTTGTAGCACTTGTGATGGTAACAGCAGTAGTAGTAATAATGATCCCAAAGGAGACTAATCAAGTTACTTTGAACTTGCATATTCAGATTCTTCTTATTATTATTCTTTTCTCCATGGCTTTGTGGTATTTTCTGTATTAAAACTGCCTGAAGGTAATCAAGTCAGCTGCTATTCGACTGCACATATGCATATTCATTCACCGCTTGTAGAAGGAGGCAAGCGAATCTCATGTTGCCCTGAAATAATCCCTAAACTTGTCCGCGGGTTGTTTTATTTTGCCGTTGACTCACACCATATATTCTGCCACATATAGTGCTGACGACATTTCATTTTAGCACAGTGAGGGGAAAAGAAAAAAAAAACTTTGTACTAGCTCTAGGTTGTGGGAGGAAGGTGAATGAGGTAATGCATTTTTAAAGTGTGATGAAAAATTGTCCCTGTCACCGCCTTTTTTTCAGAGATTTATCCTGCAGTTAAAAATACGCAGAAGCTAAAAGAGACAGCACAATGGGGAAAACGCTAAAAACCCTTTAAGTGGGACAACAATGCATAAGCAAGCAGCCTCGCACTGGCAAAGAGGGAGAAAAAAAAAAAACTGCAAATAGACCAATTTCACGGCTGCTGTAAGAAGGAGATGGTTGGGTTTTCAGTATAGTCAGAGCTCCGGGCATCATAAAACATGCATGCGTCTAATGCTGACCACTGTAAGAAATTTTTGCCTTTCTGACGCAAGGGGACGCGGCGTTTGATGGAAGGGATGGATAACCATTTGTAGAAGACGAGAAAAAAACGAATTCTGCGAAGGCACCCTCGCTTTTGACACCACACTTTGTTCGACGTGCTTTGTTCTCCGTCCGACTTTTTGAAAAGACACTGCCAAATTTGTTCAGGCGAGGAAAATAATGAGCTTCCTTCTTGTACCCTGAAGTAGCAAAGTACATAAGTTTAGTTTTCGAAGGCTTTGTACATGTGGTATGACTCTTAATAATTGTGTCCATGAGCGCAGCTTTTGAAATCTGACCCGTAAAAAAAAGAAAAAGTAGAGCTAAATGAAATTTTCTTCAAACCGGCAGCTCAAGAGGGTATTCTCCCCGAAGGTTGAGCGAAGCATGTATGAGACGGTTTATGAACGCTCCGCAGCGGCTCAGAGGTCAACGTTCAGGCCGGGCCCGCCATTAGGAAACGTCGACACAGCTTTACCGGCGCGCGACTCCATTCTATAAATCATTCTCCTTCTTTCTCCCCAGGCACCTCCTCCTTCCTCCTCCTTCTCTGGTTCGCTTGTGCCTGCTCCCTGGTAAGAAGCCACATTAGCTGCACCCTCAAACACATGAAGACTTGCGATGATAGGGAGAGGGTGCCAGTGTGTAGCCCCTCCCCCCTCCATGCATTTCCTTTGTAACAAGCTTTCATCTATTTTTATAAGGCAAAAAAGATGTATAAAAATAAGTTGGCGAGGGCCGCAAGAAACCCCCACAGAGAGCATGATTCATTCACATGTGTCTCCATGTGCTGCAATAAGTACGGGAGTGACACTTTTGCATTGTACGAGTTGTGTAATACAGGTGCATGATATACGTTTGAATTCTGAGTTATTTTAGATAAATTATTGCTTCTATCTCCCTTTTTAAACCCACATTGTAGTATGAGTTTTAAACCCCATACCTTTATGCTACTGTTTTAATATGAAATTCAAGATTCAAGAATGGGCGGCACGGTGGCTGAGTGGATAGCACTCTCGCCTCCCAGCAAGAAGGTCCTGGGTTCGAATCCCGGTCGTAACAGGGTCTTTCTGAATGGAGTTTGCATGTTCTGCCCGTGCTTGCGTAGGTTTCTTCCGGGTACTCTGGTTTCCCCTACCACTAAAAACATGCACACCAGGTAAAATCTTCCAGCTCTGGTAGGCCTGACCAAGCCGAGCAATGACTTCATGAATTTTTATCTATGTATTTAAATGACTTTGAATTGCTTTGTAAACGAATTGTGCTACAATAAATGCTTGATTGATTGATTGTTTGGTTTGGTGAATGTCTGACTATGTATTTATGCAAGTTTGTAGTGGTCCAGGTTTGTGCTGAAGCTCAAGGGGTCACCTGGAAGTCCTCTGAACACAGGGCAAAATAGCACAAAAATATTCCATTTACACACAGAGGAGAACTCATCTTTTTTTCGCATTATTACCAAAAATGTGTCTTGAGTTCTTTGCCTGCTATCTTGTTCCGTCTACAATTACTGTTTTGGTCCTAGTATTGTCAAATACAAACTGGCATTCTGCATGCTAAGCTGATTGGTTTATTTGTTGCCATACATCTCACAGATTACAGCAATATGAGCTCAATGGAATGAATACCATCAATTTGAAGATTTCTTAAGAGACTTATCGTATACTTAAAGTCTGCAAAGTAGACACTAATAAGCCACACGCTACCTCCTTCAACCAACCATGCTCATTACCATTCACTTCCTACACAACACACTATTTATGTGCTCGTAGTTTGACATTTTTTGCCACAAGGGGCCTTTTTCCAAGTTATGAAATCACTCCACAAACAGTGGCAAGTCAAAATACAAAATAATATGAGGTAATTGGTATTAATTGGCCGGTGAAATCTTCCTTTCCGTAAAGTCAAATGTGCAGCTATGACTGTCACATAAATAAGACATGGATGGGTGAAAGAAATCTTAGGGTTTTTTACTTTTCAAATGTTTGTGGGTAGGTAAATAGATAAATGAAAGTTCAGCTGCCATGGCTTTGTGTTAAAAAGGTTGCTTGTAAGCCAATGAAAAATGTGCGCAAATTTCAATCTCGCCTCAAAGGTCATAAGATTGGATAACATCGCAACACGGCTAATTTTTTCAGCAAACGGTGCCTCACAAGCTACATCTGGTTTGTGTGAAAAACAGAAAAGTTCTTCTTTTGTTCTGCTTTAGTTGGCTTTCCTTTTTTTTGCTAAATTAAATAGCATGTAACAGTAAAAGGGGATAGACTTTTGTATTTGGATGGCATGGTGGCACAGTGGTTAGCTCTAGATCCTGGGTTTGATTCCACCCCCAGACTTCTCTGCGTGGAGTTTGCATGTTATCCCTGTGCCTGTGTAGGTTTCCCCCAGGTGCTCCAGTTTCCCCTACCACTAAAAACATGTGCAATGAGTCTGGCATGCACTTTGTGACTGGTCTATGAATGGCACTATATAAATAAAGATGACTTACTTACTTACTTACTATTATGCATGAGCGTATGTTGTGTGCACTCAAAGTATATAGCATGTTTTTGCCGGGGAATGAATGAATGCATGAGCGGCCTCAGCTTGGTGCCGGCCTACAGAATGTGTGAACACCTTGAGTTGTGTTTCCTTTCCCTCTCTATTTTCTTGTTTCCTTTTCCAACAACTTCCCCCGAGCGTGAAAAAAGAACGAAAGAAATAAAACATTTCCTTGGCTCTATGGATTTGGTTGCGCTCTCGGCAGACCTCAGCATATGCACATTTATGTATTTTGGGATGTACTTGTTGGACGTAGTGTTGTGATTTCCGCTGAGAAGATAAATAAGTAAATAGCGTGTGTTATTGGCACGCTTTGCGACTATCCCAGCCGAAGCCTCAGACCTCACACTGGGAATGACACGGCGGCCCACTGCGTCCCTTGTTCAGCTCACCTCATGTTCCAAAGCTGGCTACGGCAAATATGATCGCTCACTCCGCCGCAACCTGTTCACCTGAATTGCACCGCTGTGATTTTCCAGACAAAAATGGAGCAGACACTGGGAAGCAGGAGGAGAAACAAGACGAGAGAGGAGGGAGGAGGGAGGAGGGGGGGGCGGCATGGCGAAGACGGTGAATCTGAAAGGGTAAAGGGACGAGACTGAGGGCAGGTTCTGGCTTGATACCTCACACCGGTTTAATTGTCTTGACTAAACACCTGACATGGATTCTCAAGCCAGAGAAAATATCAGTGTGCAAGCAGCCATAACATTATAACCACATGGCAATTATAGACGCTTATAGTGTTAGGAGTTATAACCATTCGAAAAAGTAATATAAGATTCTCAGTGTTTTCTCACAAAAAAAAAAAAAAAAAAAATGTTGATTCAATTATAGTGCTAGAATATTGTTTTGGGGCCTAGTTTTTGTGCCTGTAGTCCAGGATCAAACTAGAACCTGGGTCTCGTTTGGAGATTTACTTTTACGCAACAGAAATTGTGTTTTCCAGTCGAAATAAAACTGTATGTATCTACAGTATGTAGCAACGGTGAAAAATGATGGACAATACACAAAAAAGTTAAATTAGATTAAATCATTTAGGATCAAGTGTCAAATTCCTGAATTATTTGGGGAGCTTTCCAGTCTGGTGGTTATGTTTGCACCGGATCAAACCCTGGTAAAAACATAACCTCTTTATTTTGTCATATATATTATTCCCTACATATTCTTATGGACGTTATTTTTTGATTTCGACATGTTCCCACCATCAACACATCACGTTTGATTCTCTGCAGTGGCCTGTATGTCAAACCCACCAGTGTGTTTATGGCATCACCTCGTGTGATCATAATGCTACGCCTGATTGATATCGAGTACAGGCATTGCATATTAACAGCTGTTGGAAGGAAGCAATTTTTATTCAGAACACAGCCCATTTGGATGCTGTCCAAATTGTGATCGGCAATGCTTGGTTGACTCTAAAAAGGCACCAAATATGTATTCTCTGTATATGACTGCGGGTCCCTCATTGAAAATACAGTCATGTCGCCATCTCACAGAAAACCCTATTCTACTCTAGCCTTTTTTTTCCCTCTCTCCCACTCGCGCCTTTTCATCTGCAGCTCACACAATGTAAAAATATACAACAGCCAAGCGTGTTTTAAAAGCCAAAAATGAAATCAACACACATATGCCCTCACTGAAACAATATGGCCGACTTACAAGAGCAGGCCCTTTCATTGCGAGAGCCTGACAGCACCGCTTTTAAAAGAAACACTACAGAAATTGAAGCAATGGAAGGAGTTTTTTCCCCCCCTTCTCTTGTTTTTTTGCTTGCACCAAATGGCCTCTGTGGCTGTTGCAATGTGTGTTGTGTATCAGTGTTTATAACCAGCTGAATGGCTTTTTTAATCTATGTCAGGAGTGGGTGTCAAGACGCCTCTAGCTCCACAAAAACACCACCAGTAACAATTCCATTAGACACACTTGGACCTGCACAATGTCTTGCCTTCCTTTGTGTATGACCCGGAGTGCACGCGTATAAATGGTCGGGTTTCTTGCCGTCTCCAGAGCCAAAAAAAAAGAGCGATTAGAATTGTCTGTTCTGCACGATTTCTCTGCTTGTGATATCATTCAGGATTTCAAAGTGACTGACTGACCCAAAAATAGCGGCACGTGCGTGTTTGGGCAGCTAACGGGTATCTAAATTCAAGACGTGTAAAGGTCTGCCTCACAGGGGAACGTGCAGTGTGTATCTAGGTAGGATATTGATATGAATTAGAGCGTGTCGCGAACCAAGGCCGCAGTGTTCGTAAAAGAAAGAGATCTTACTATTCATTCTCCGTCACAATAAAGCATTAATATCTCTTTGAGGCAGCACAACGGCAATAATATCTACAGTGCAGTATAGAAGCAAATGGATTCAAATCAGTTTCAGGCAAGAGTACAATGTTTTCTCTGTCATAAAGGTTTGAGAACTTTGGTAAGCTTTCCCAAAGGCTTAGAAGTTACTGCTTCGAAGTGTGTTTGGTCCAGTTGGTTGGTTTCACACTCATTGAAAGCATCACAATAGCAATAACAACTTAACTACTTGAAACCAAGTGTTTTCTTGTTTTTATTAATATCATATTCACTTTGTTTTCCTGGGGTAGACCGTCATCATACTTTTGAGGGTGCAAAAAATGTGTATACTAGTCGTTGAAATTTAAAACCAGATTTTATTTTGTGTGTCTTTAGTCCAACCATGATCAAACTATATCAGAACTTATAGTACACAGACATACAGTATAACGAGAGCTGAAGTTCCATAAAACAGATCACCCTCAAAATCTAACATTTTTTTCTTATCCCAGTTTTGTGGTTTCCGGAGAATGTTCTGGACTTTTGAGTTATGTTACTGACAGAAAATGTACAATGTTGTCTTTCTCATCAAGGTTTTCCAACTCGGCCAAGCTTACCGAAGGGCTCAAAAGTTACTGCTACAAAATGCCTTTGGTCCAGTTGGTCAGTCTTCCGAAATGTTCATGTACTCATGGGAAGCTTTGCTATCACATAACAACTCAACTACACGAAACCAAGTCCCTACAAGCCCAAACATAAGTAACATGTCGCTTTGTCACCTCTTTCCCTTTTTCCAAAACCACTTGCACACAAACAACCGTTGAACCATGCAAACTATCAGCCCACCGCTTCACCCCAAGAGCAAGACTTTGGACACTCCTGACTGAAACTGCAGGTGCACTCAATAGCCCGTGTGTGCGAGACTGCACTGTATGCGACACCCGCTGATGATTTGAATACCTGCCTGCTCCAGCGCCACAGTGATCAATCATCTCCCCGTCAAGAGCCACTCCCTGCTGGGGACTTTATCATGCGTGTAACCACCATCCCTTCCCTCTCTTCTTCCCCCCTTTTCTTCCAACCCACTCTATCCCTCTAAATTTCATCTTTTTGGCTCCTGTGCACTCATTTACTCTTTCCTCCCCGCGGTCGCAGCAGGTCTTCTTGTTCGTTCCACGTCTCTCGCTGTCTCACTTGCCCCGGGATAGAAGCGTACAGAGAGAGAGAGAGAGTTAGGGACAGATGGAAATGAATACGAGACACGCTTGGCCGACCGACGTCTCGGGGCAAACATGAAAGACAAAGCCATGCTGAGAAGATGTGTTCACACAAAGCGTCGCAAGCTCGCAATCCACTTTTGGGGGCGGTCCAGATTGGATAACTTAAATTAATGCGAGTACAGTGACCTTAGGGAGGAGCGATGATAGATGCAGGGACTGGCTGATTGATAGCACTGCATTACATGGCGCACATACGCAGCTACAAGCCGGCTCCATCTGACTAAGTTTGGGGAAATCAGACCTATAACCACTGCCTGTGCCGCACCGCTCTTCAAATATGAATGGTTTTAATTAAACAAACTCACTTTGCCATCTGGCCCCACATTCCCGCTCAGCCTAATGAACACACTTTCACACATGCACCGGCACACACCACGCACATTATTAACCAGACTGAAAAATGTGTTCCAATGGCCGTAAATAAGCACAAACAACAACAAAACGGAGCCGTTCAGAAGATGGAGAGTGCTTGGACTATGACAAAGTTATGGCAAATTGTAGTGGAAAATTGTTTTTTGAGCTCTTTGGGCGCCAATGTAGCGGAATCCAGGACATAGTTTTCTTTTAGTTCTTTATGTAATTGATTTTAGTTTTCATATAACATTTCTGAAACGATTGGCACCAAAATTGATCCATTGCTGTCTTGAATTTTCCCCGGATTGGCAACGAATGATTCAATGGGTTTTTATTAGGGCTGTAACTAACAACTACTTTGGATAATCCACTAGTTGACGATTATTTATTGGACTAATTGAATACTTATTGGATTACTAAGTACCTGCATGGGATATCTAGATAGATTTGACAAAAAAAGGTAAAGTATACACCTCAAGGGATCTTTTTGTTGATGAGTTATAACAAAATTAGTCGTCTGCATTGAATATACATTTTTACACGTTCATATTATTCTGCAGTAATTACAGCTAATAGGGGAGTCAGAAAACCTCTCTCTCATACCCTTTATGTTTTTAAAAAAGAATTGATTGCTGCAAACAGTTGACAAGGACAACCATTGCAAGCACTTTGAGTTTCCTTATGTATGATCTGTGCTATACAAATAAACCTACTTGCCTTGCAGCAATTTATCAATTCACCTGTCACGGCCCTAGTTCATTAAATCTCAAAGAAACCATCACACTCTCAAGTTGCAATTCCTGAATTTAAATCTCCTTGTCTGCTTCTTCCAACACCTCACATATTGTATCCTAGCAATAATCGACAGTGACTCAACATTTTTATAATCCAAACTGCGACTGCTTTCCATCAGTATCGGAATTCAAAGCAAAGCATAGACAGGTGTGTCTGGATGAATAGCAGCTACATGCAGTAAGAATAAGAAAACATGGGTATTTTTCTATCTCCGACTGTCATGCAATACACTTGATACCATTAAAATCACTGCGTTCTCATGACACGGCTCGTCTGGAACAACACCAAGCACCTGTCCCTTAATGGTTCCTTGTATTCAAGTGTGTCCAGGATTTTTTATTTTTTTTTCCTTTGAAGCTGGTCCGTCTCTCACTCCCCTCCTTCTTTCCAGCCTGATAACTGCTGTGATGTGCCACTTGTCTGTCTCCTCTGTGCATGCTCGCCAACAGTAAATGATGTTTGTAATCCAACAGAGGTACCCCGAGATTTCTCAGCAGGAAAGACAGCCACAAGATAGAGATTGTGCGTGTGCATGTGTGTTTGTGTGTGTGTGTGCGTTTGTGGTAGTAGAGCTCGTTGTCTAGCAGCCAAAGTTGGAGAAAGAGGGGGACGTGGGTGGAATGTTAACGTTAGCAGCTAGCGGGATGTGCTATTACTCTCTTAGCAGCTACAATAAATTTGCACTATTCATCTGTCTTTGCAGCCAGCATAAACAAAATCAGCCTCCGCACGATGCACTCTGTGATATAG